TCCAACAAATCACATCACAAGCTAACAACACACCTTTTGTTTTCCTTCTTTTAAAACAAAAACAAAAAAGAAAGCAACACCGAGTAATAGTAGTTTAACAGTAGCTGTGATAACACTAATAGTTAGAGCAGCACTGTAGCAGTTACGGTAATATTAGTCATTATCGCAGTAGCATCAGTAGTTGTTGCAGTAGTAGAAGCAGTTGTAACTGTAACAGAAGCAAGTACATCAAGCTGGAACGTATCGCAGTGAATAATTGAAAAGGCATTTTGTTACACGCGTATACCTAAGGAATATACTTTATAAAAGAAAAGAGAAAATGATGATGGTGATGATGATAATGATAACGATAATGATCGTGATAAAAAACTATCGTTCATGGGATCATACTAAATTGTACTCCTTTAAATTGTGTTGTAATATTGTATCCTTCACTGCCGCGAATACAAAACGTATATTCTCCGTATCTGAAAATACGAAATAAATTCTTAAAATTCCGACTCAACTTCAAACAAATACCCCTCTCTTACATTCATAATCACTGTTAACCAAATTTCCCCATCACAATGAAGTTATAAAAATTGTTTCTCCTTTCTGGAATATGGTATGGTTATAATCCAACGATCTAAAAACATAACCACAACCACAGTAAGGTTAGCTTATGATAAGTTCGATGCTCCAATAAAGCCGGAAAAAAGTGTGTTTAGAAAAACCGGAAGAGTTACAATTTTTTTCGTGATGGATCATTTCCTACTGCAACTAACCAATAAGATATCCAAAATGAAGTACTAACCCGTAGCACAAGTGAAATGTGAATAAATGATTTTATCAGCATCCGGATTCAAATCAACGAACATTTTTAAAATAAATTCTCGCGCTGCGATAGGATCCCTTGAAGGACCTGAAAAATGCAATCAGTGCACATCGAACATGGTATATTTCGCTTTATTAAAAATAATTAGCTCTCGAAAACATCGCTGTTATAACACGTTCTGCTACAATGTCGAGAACATTGCGATCACTGAAGTGAATACAGTGATCATGTAATTTTCAAGGTCTGATTTCAATTCAATTCTTTCAACTCACTTCTAACTCACTTATGCTCTTTGGGAAATTTATGCTTGACAATGCTTACAATACAGCTATGGTAACTGGATGATATAATATACCATTAAATCTCCGGTAACACTTAAAGTAGTCGTGTCTTTGTCATCCTTTATACATGTCATGTTATTTTACAAAATGTTTACTTGTTTTGTTCCATTCAAACTATAAAAATTATGATATAAAGACTGAATCTTTACAGTACTATCGAAATATCATAACAGAAAATATATCATGCCCTACCTAATAATAAAAACTGACAGTTCGGAACGGTTAAAACAACAAACCATCATATTCCGGAAAATAATCGACGAGATGTGAATAAAGTATTTTCTCTTCCAAGAGATCTCGCTTATTGAGAAATAAGATTACCGATGAATTTGTAAACCATGGATATGTGATAATCGTGCGAAACAGTGCTTTCGATTCTTCCATACGATTCTGAAATTTCGCTTACATGATATCAATATTTCATATTTAGATTATAAAACGATAAGAAAGATTATCATACTCTCACTTGAGCGATACCATCTGATATTTTTGCCTTAAATGTATGAGTTTTTCATCCTATC